CTTCAATGCCTGATCGATCCATCACAGTCCCCTTCAGAGACCAGGGAAAGCCAGCCACAATCCGGTTAGGCCTGTTGTCTACCTGTGTCCTGGCTTTCATGTTTTGTCTGCCCTCTGGGAAGCACCATAGTGAGAAAATGGTCACTCCTGATTTAACAAAATCGTGGTTGACTCTCCTTCCTGGTACCTTTGGAAGCTTAAATTAGAGTTTAAAGCATAAAGCCCCACCCTTGCTTCCAGGCTTCCAGACTTCTTTGCATAATTAAAAGTGCAAATGTTAAAAGTATTTTTAATCTGTAAAGAATTAATCAGTCAAATCACAAATTCCTTTCTCTCTGCAAACTTTCTTTGCTCCTCTGAGAAGATGGGTCAGAACTCAGGCCCATAAGAAAGTGTGTCGAGGCTCAGTTTGAAATAAATTAAGAGAGGGCAGATTAGGACAGGAAGACTCTGAGGACACTACCCAGCTGTCGTATTTTTAGTACACTCATCTCTCAGTACCATCCAACATCCCCTTCAGACACCAAAAACTGTGGATGCCCAAATCCCGACACAATAACACTGTGAAGTATTTACGTATAAATCTATGCACATAGTCCCATGTACTTTAAATCCCACCTAGGTTTCTTATACTACCTAATACATTATAAATGCTATGTAACTCATTGGTGTGCTTAATTCCACCACAGTAATGACAGTAAAAGTCAGTCATGTGCTCTACAATTTTTTCTCAATATTTTCCACTAAAGAGTGGTTGAATCCAAGGATGAACCCTATGGAGAACCCACCACATTTTTTTCTTGGGACTGTCATTCAGGGACCACGGGCCTTAACTTGAGGCAGTGAAAATAAGTGGCCTCAGAAAGCTCAGTTGCAGAATATGAACAATTTAAATCTATAAATAAATCTGTACTTCTGATTTCTCCTTTTAAAAAACAGAAGGGGTAAGGGTGATAGCTCAGTTGGTAAAGTGCTTGCGTCACAAGCATGAGGAGCTGATTTTGAGCTCTAGCACTCAAAAGGTGGCTGTGGTTGTGTGTGCCCTAGTCCCAGTACTGGAGAGGTGGAGACAAGTGAATCCCAGGGCCTGCCGGCCAGCCAGAAGTCTAATTAGTGAGCTACAAGTTCTAGTGAGAGACTGTCTCAAAAACCAGGGTGGGATAGAGAGGGAGGAACAACACCTAAGGCTGACCTCTGCCTTCCACATGCACTTGCACACACACAGGCATCCACACAAGCACATGCACATACATACCCACCCCCTCTGCCCCCTGCCACCCCCCCTCCAGGCATACATACACAAATTAAATTGCAGGACGGCAGCAGGCCACTTTCCTCTGGCATATTGGAACCAAGGATCTCGCCATCTCACACATCATCCCCACTTACTACAGAATGTGTGTGGGTGCCCCTGTGTCATAGGCTCTCCTTTACCCCTATTAATTACCACTGAGGCATTGGAGCCTGCCCAGCTATGGAGCTGACAGCATCATTTTCAGGTGTCCACACATCTGCCTGCTTGCTGAATGCATTCCAGTTCTTGACCCCTGCCTTAGCTGGCTGGCTCACCATTTCCTGGGCAGCACTTTTACTACACTGTTGAAAAAGGTCATTTTCAGACCAGTATGCACACCGCGAGTGTCGGGTCAACAGGCCTGCAGGAGCTCCAACTATGCTTAGTACAAATGGGTGGATCAGCCACCATCAGGAAACCCATGGGAAGCCTGTCTGAAGGCTCTCAAGCCAGGTCCCTGTGCAGTCTGCAGTCTGTGGACATTCAGGTCTCACTGAACCATGCCTTCTGGATTTCTGTAGGACAGAACCCATAGTATATTCCTTAATTAGCATAACAAAGCCCAGATCATTATTGACCCAAAGCCAGCATTCCTCACTTACTGTTTCTCTCTCTCTTTCTCTCTCCCTTTCTCTCTTTCTCTCCCTTTCTCTCTTTCTCTCCCTTTCTCTCTCTCTCTCTCCCTCCCTCTCTCTCTCTCTCTCTCTCTCTCTCTCTCTCTCTCTCTCACACACACACACAGCAGTCAAGCTACAATAAAGCCAGTGTTCCAAGAGGAGACACAGTGCTAGCATTTGGACCAAAGCTGCCTTTTGTCTGTTTATAGAGAACATCCTAAGCCCCCTCGTCATCTCTGTTCAGACCCTCATGATGCAGAGTATTTGAAAATTGTAATTTCTAGGCTCCTTATTAAAACTTCTATTGTTTTAATCAATCCTCAAATTGACTTTGGTGGTGTTTTTATTACATTCTTCACCACCAAAAACAGAAATCAACTTTAAATTGGCACCAGCCCTAATCTGGGTTGATTTGGGCTGTGTGGGGATAGTCATTACTCCTGATGAATATTTAAGTCTCCTTTGGCTTTCTGAGCAGAAGAGCTCATCAGAGTTTTCGAAGCCTGTGTTTGAATGATTGGCCTGTCATAGACCGGCCAAAGAAACAAGTGAGCTAGTGCAATGGCTCCCTCTCTCCAAGCTAGGATCTCCCCTCCACACTGCCAACCGTTATTCCCAGTGGGCTCTTGATGGCTTTACCATTCTTGGAAATCATCATCAATCATGAAACCATTGCAGCTTGTCTTCCAGCTTCAGCCGAAAAAGAGACTTTGCTAGTCTTGGGCAAGCTTGTCCAGTTTCTCTAGGGCGTAGGAAGAAAGAGGGCAAAGGAAGAGAGGGAAATGGCTGGGCAGCTGTGGAAGTGAGGGCCAGGTGGAGCTGGTCTCTGAATGCCACTGAGATCACCACAAACTGAAATTAAGGACGTTGGGTCAGCTGCTTTGTTAGGTGGAAGATTGCTTTTCACCACCAGCTTAGAGTGCATGAGCATGATGTTGCATTGTTAAAACAGCACATAAAAAGAGCTGAGCAGTCGTCCTGGTGAGGTCTGTGCACTTTGCTAGTCACACCTCCCACCAGCCTTTCATTGATGCAAGTTAGGAGCAAGAAGGCGCAGCCAGGACAAGGACAGTGGCACTGGACAGTGCTTGCTTTCCTGTAGCTTTGTGCTAGCAACTGAACCACCTCGTGCTGACGTGGTCACTGGTCACATGGAGAGGAAGGCACTATAGACCAAACATGGCATCAGGCAGCTGGTGCTTATGTTAGAGCAAAAGAAAATGCTATATCTATATATTTTAAAGCCAATGGGAATGGCAGCCTGTATGCCTCAGCAATATGAATGGGAGTTGCAAGGCTGCACCAGTGTGGAAGGAAGTCACATGATGCCAAACAGCACATTTACAAATCCGTTAACTTTCACATTCTCAGATTGATCTGCCCGAAAGATCTACTCACCTCCTTCAAATGTTAGTTTCTACACTTGCAAATGGGGTGGAGGGAAGTACTGCCTTCTGTACCAATCATTCTTTTGTTACCAGAATACAAAGTTTGGTACTGTACAAAATGAATACATCATTGTTTAAACAAGTGGTTTACTCAAACATCACCTGAGCTTTAATTTTTAAATGTCTCTTTTTATACCATAAGAGTTACTTGTTCATAGCATTTGATGATTTACAAACAGAAAGCTGATAGAACAGCATTGTGACAGTATCCTGCACATCTGTGAGGGTGCACACATTCACACACATACACACACCATACACATTCACATACATACACATACATTTATAGACACACAATAGCATTGTAACAACAATCCTGCACATCTGTGAGGGTACACACATATGCATATATATACACCACACACATTCACACACATACCACACACATTCTCTCTCTCACACACACACACATACAATAGAATTGTCATGGTAATCCAGCACATCTGTAAAGGTATACATCTGTATGCGCATACACACACATGCACACACATATGCACATAAAACATGTAGTAGCATTGTGACAATTCTGTGCATTTCTGAAAATGCACACATATTCATATGCACAGATACAGAAAGACACATCATGTATACATACATACTTCATGCACCACACACATAACACACACAAAGATACACCACATGGGGGCTGGAGAATGACTTAGCAGTTAAGAGTACTGGCTGTCCTTGCTTGCAGAAGTCCTAGGTTTGGTTCCCAGCACCCCCATGGTGGGCTAACAACTGTCTATAACTCCAGTTTCAGGGCATCTGACACCCTCTTCTGGCCTCCACAATCATTACACGACACAGGTGCACTTATATACATGTAGGCAAAACACTCATACATATAAAAAATTGTTAAAAAGATATACCTCATGCATACATATCACACATACACACAGAGACAACCGTACAACATGCAGACATACATACATTTTGTTGTATTTTTTTATAGTGCTGAAGATAGAACCCAGGGCCTCATGTATGCTAGGCAAGCACAGTACCACTGAACACATCTCCAACCCTGTTTTTACTTTATTTTTTTAAATTTGAGATAAGCCCTCACTAAGTTTCCCAGGCAGTCCTGGAATTTGTGGCTCTCTGCCTCAGTTCCTGCCAAGTGCTGGGACCACACCTAGCTCATGAGGCTGGTTTTGTTGTTGTTGTTATTTATTTGGAGGGGGGCAGCATCATCTCACTTGATTACAGAGACAATATTTAGGGAAGATTATTATCTCTACTTCACATGTAAAGCAATGTCATCTCAGGAGGTTGGCATGCCCGGAGCTTGGAAGCTGGAGGTGGCAGTCTGGACCCTGGCTGTTCTGCTGTTCAAAGCCATATCTTTCCAAAACCTTTAACACCAGCACCTAACTAGATTACAGAAAGGAAAGGAGACTTTGAAAGTACAGGATGAAAAAGATCTCTAGAAACACAGTAGGCTCTCTCAGATCTGTTCTGGGGTAGTGTCCATGAGCATAGGTACTAAGAACAGGGTGAACGTTTTAAATGCCCAGATTTTGTTGTAAAAATTCATTTCCTGTTTCAGTAGCATTTCACAGCCAGCTGCCTTTTTTCTCTAGCAACTGTAATTCTCAGATAATACTCCTGAAGGATGTTCACTGTTGCCCCTTTGTCTTGTAGCAACCGATCAGCTCCTAGCAACCATGACCGGATACAGCGTCTAAGGCAAGAGTTTCAGCAAGCCAAGCAGGACGAGGATGTGGAAGATCGGCGGCGTACCTACAGCTTTGAGCAACCTTGGGTAAGCGTCTGGTTTCTCAGCCCAGTGAGCTGTCCAGCAGCTGCCTTGCAGGAGAGCTCCTGAGCTATGACCTCAGTCCTTTATGAAATAAGACAAGATGGAGCCAAATCTATCTGACCTTTAGCATTTTGACCTTTCCCTCCTTTCCATCTGGGTTTCATCATTGCTAATTTCATTTTATATCTTGTTTTACCATCTGTCCGCTGTATAATAGGTTCAAATAGCCTTATGACGAGACACCACCGATGTGTGCCTGCTCTCAACTGTGCATTTGTTACTAGCTTTCGCCAGTGCTTTTCTATAGATTTATGTTTCTCAGAATCAGAGCCAAGGTAACTTTACCTCCTGCTTATTTGTGTCTGTGAGACAGGAGTTAGCAATTCTTGGTTCTTTATTTTCCATCCCCTTGGTGTTTGTTGTTGGGTTGTGGGGGGGGCGTGTAATTTTGTTTTTTTGTTTGTTTGTTTTTGTGTGCTTTGTTTTGTTGAGACAGGATCTTATGCAGCCCAGGCTGACCTCAAAGTTGATATATAACCAAGGATGATTTGAACTCCTGATCCTCCTGTCTTCCCCTCCCAAGTGCTGGCATTACAGGTATGCACCACTTGGTTTCTTTGGTGCTGGGCATCAAACCCCAGGCTTCATGCATGCTAGGAAAGCACTCCACCTACTGAGCCATATCCATAGCCCCTGCCAAATAGTTGTTGAATTGCTGCTTACCTGTTTCACCTCCATTCTCATCCTTCCTTCATGCAGCCACTTTAGTGATCTCTGGGACTGCTACCTCTGCATCCTGATCTCTGTGTTGCATCTTCATCCAGGAGACCTAAGAGCACTTAGGATTAGAGGCATCAGAGCAGAGTTGAGGTTGGAGACAGTGGGGATTTTAACTCTTTGGAAAGCTTGAGAGTGGGACAGTGAGAGCTGCTTCTTGTAGGAAAATGCAGCTCTGGGTGTTGGGACTTCCATGCTTTGGACTCAGTCCTTGACAACTTTGTGTAGAGGACTGAGGATGATGAAGACACATTTGTAGAGGAACTCTGGGATCAAGATGCACGAGGCCAAAATGTACAAAGTCAGGAAGGACATACCACAGTCCTAAAGATTCTGGGAGAGGGGCTCTTCAGTCTGGATAAAGAGGCATGTGCAGCTAGAAGAGGGTTACCCCTGGTGGCTCTCAAGTGTGTAAGAATAACTAGATGCCTCAGGGCTGTGGTGAAACAAGCCAAGCTATCGCTATACCCAAGGTACAGCAGAGGAGGTGACTGTCCAGAAGTTGATGATTCCCTTCAAAGTGCTCAGAATGTAATTCATTATACCTTGTTTCTGAGAGGATAGGGCAGAGAAAAAAAGTGGTATTAGAAAAGACTTGAGTTAGGCACTTGCTCTTCCTTGATCTAAGGAAAGATGAACCTCCCAGCTGAGGTGAAATTGGTAGGTGGTTGTGTTGGATAAAATGAAGATTAAAGGTAGAGACACTGGGGGAACTTGCAGGTTGAAATGAGAGAAGAGACATGAAGCTATGTGGGAAACTATTCTAGGAATTGGGCAGCCTGCATCTTTAAACCACAGTCATTTGAAAACCAAGAAGGGAGCTGGGAACATGGCTCAGTTGAGTGAATGTTTGGCTTTGTACACACAAAACCCTGGGTTCCATTCCAAGTACCATGTAAACTGGGTGTGGTGGTACACACCTCTAATCCCAGTACTTGGGAGGTGAAATTAGAAGGATCATAAGTTCAGAGTCACTTTTGGTTATATAAGGTGTTCAAGGTCAACCTAGGCTACCTGAGACCCTATCTCAACTTCTCTCTACCCCTCTTAAAAAGATTAGCATGTCATAGATCAGTAAACCCCTTTGATAACATGAAAATGGAAAAGGAAGCTATGTTAGGGGAGAGGGGGGATGAGTTGGGTTGAACACAGCAGCTTCCATGGTTCCAGCGATCCTCTGATATGAATAGGGGCTTTCCGAAGTATGGTCCACACATCGGCTCTTCACTACCTGGAAGTTCATAAGTACACATCCTAAGACCCTTCATAGCAGCTGTCAGACCTGAGCCTATGCAGTAATTTCTGGTCAATTGGACTGAAGAACCAGCTGTGCTTAACAAGAGACCAGCACCACTGAAGTGAAACCTTTGCTTTACTGGGACAATCAGTACTGGTTAACTGGGGCTGAATAATCATCTGTGATTAGTAAGAGACCAACACCAATACGGTGAAACCTTCTAGAGAGAATTTCCTCAGTGTCAGAAAACAGAAATTATAGTCCAGAGGGGGCCAAGGCAGCATCTCAAGCTCAAAGCTAAACTTGGCAATCTGTGAGATCTCCCACATGGTAATGGTTTTGAAGATACAAAGGGATCGTAGAGAGAAGCTAAGGCTTGGCACTATGAGAGGCCAAGAGAGGCCTCAAACTATCACATGAACAACTGATAATCTTTGCTTCCCTCTGAAACTTCACAATCCAAACCTACATTGTCTGCATTAATCCAGGATTACTTCCAAGTTCCCACAGAATAGCTCATTAAGCCCTGAGTATTCAACAGCTTTTCCAGCCCAGACTTCCAAACACTTCCACATTTCCTCCCCAAGACAACATGGTCAGGTCTGTCATAGCAATACCCTATATTCCTTGTACAATATCTGACCTTAGTTTCTGTTGCTGTGACAAAACACAGACCACAAGCAATTTGGGAGGAAAAGGTTTATTTCATCTTACAGCTTACAGTCTATCATCAAGGGTAGCAAAGGCAGGAACCTAGAAGCAGGAACTGAAGCAGAGATGATGAAGGAGCACTGCTTACTGGCTTGCTTCCTCTGGCTTTCTTAGCCAACTTACTTATACAGCCCAGGTCCATCTTCCCAGGGATGTCACTGCCCACAGTGAACTAGGCCTTCTCACATCAACTAGCAATTAAAATGCCTTTCAGACATGGCCACAGGCCATGGAAAGTTCTTGAGTTGAGATTCCCTCATTCCAAGTGACTCTAGTTTGTGTCAATTTGACAAAAAATAACCAGCACAGAGGCCACTTCTTAGCCTGAGTATTTTCATTGATAGACTTTGAAGAGTTTTTAATAAGGTCTTTCTGGTAAGGACAATGATGCTGTTGACAGGTATTTCCATGCTGTCTCCTTGATAGGAGCAATCACTAGAGACGCTGGAGAAAATCTTGTACTTTTGGAAACTCGGCTACCAAAGGTCATAGGTCAAATTATTATGTACCAGGCTTCATTGCAACTTCAGAGAGACAACTTGGCATGTGGTATTGTTTCCTGTGATGACTGAGCAGGCAGTTACTTAGATGACAAGCTGATTACCTTAGGAACAGAATAATTTCCTAAATTGTAGGTCAGAAATTGACCTTTTCTTTTTTATTTTTTATTCTCAAACAATTGTGATCTTGCTGAGAACTCCATTCTGCTGATCACATAAATGAGTTTACAGTAACTATTAAATCCACTTAGCACACTGATTTTCACACCAGTCCTCAATGTTCCCTTCCTGAGAGCTGCTTAGTTTTTCAAAATGTGACTGCCTCTCTGGTTTTTGTTATTTCCTATTTTTTGTTGTTTTTATTTTTTTTGAGAATTTCATACATGAATACATATTTACATCATTTCTATCCCTCCTTATCCATCCTTCAAATCTTCCCAAATCTCCCCTTCTCAATTTTGTGACACCTTCTTTAAATATTCGAGTTACACACACACACACACACACACACACACATTTAGTGGAGTTTATATGTATATGTATATGTATATATGTATATGTATATGTATATGCATATGTATATGTGTGTGTCCACTTGGGACTGGATAACTTACCAGGGAGCTTATCCCTGAAGAAAACTGATTCTCCCTGTCTCAGCAGATTGCCTGTCGCTTATCATCTTGAGGCAGGATCTTGTGAGTTTCCCGCATCCATATTGGTGTATCAACTGATACTGTCGTGCAGTCCTTGTTGTTGAGAGTCCATGGGCGCAGCTTCCCTGTCCTATCTAGAAGACACTAGCTAGCAGCAGGTGTCCTGGTCCTCTGGCTTTTAGTTTCCTTTTATAAAATGAGCTTTGAGTAGCTTGGAATCTTCTGCCTTCCTGTGTATTTGCTGACCTTACAGAGTCACCATGTTTGGAAAGCAACATGTCTTTTTGAGACAGGGTCTCCCTGTAGCCCCACCTGGCCTGGAATTCACTATGTAGACCAGGCTGGCTTGGAACTCACAGAGATCCACCTGCCTCTGCCTCCTGAGTGCTAGGACTAAAGGCATGCGCCACCACGCCAAGCTTGAAATCCTTTTATTTTTAAGGAATCTCAAGTTCATCTTCAAGCTATATGGACAACTTAGCTGAAATGTCCCCACACAGCAAAATCAGACAGATCACAGTACATGAGCCAGTGACTTCATCTATAGAGCTGCATGCAGCAAAATATTCCTACAGGAAGCCCTAAAAACTCAAGTATTTTGGAAATATTTTCTGTCAGTCCTAGTAGTACAGAATGTACCTGCTTGCAGGTCTTTGTTCAAGGTAGTGTCTGGGCCAGAGGGAGCTGATTTGTATCTTTACAGAAGCGCAGGCCCAGAGCACTTCCCAAGCTCTGTAACTACAGTATGTTCTCTCCCAAGTTGAGGAAGAAGAGAAAAGGCGAGTTCTTCCCCACACTGTTCTGGTTCATCCTAAATAAAACAGCACACTGCTCTAGTTCCATCATCTTAGGAGATTTAAAGTGCATGGAACCTATGGGTACTCTAAAAAAATTAAATTGCAGACGGCACGCACAAGGCCAGTATGCGGGTAGAACCTCTCAGTCACCAGGTTGCCCACAAGGAGACAGGTTGGCTGAGGTGACTGACAGATGGGATAATGGAGCCTTTAGTAGCTGTATTGCTAGACCTTTCCATCCCATGTCAGCAGTGATCAAAAGTACAGTCCTTCAGGGAAAACACTGACACTGTGCAGTGTGGATGTCCTCTTCTCCCTGGAGCTTGCT